CTATTTACAGAAAAATGGGGGGCCAACACAAACGAATAATGCACAGACCATGCTACACTAGATATAATAATAAACCTAAATCTCTGCAATATATACAGTGAATGTGGTAGATGGATAGATGTAATATCTGTATATAAATGACGAAGCAAGTCAAAACTGGATGGAAGACCAGTTCCCACAAGGACTAATGCACTGGGCCTCTATGGGAAAAAAACAAAAGGCATAATACCTGTACGTCTCGGCCAGAATAAACATTAGACCTCATTGGGAAAAAATATGGCACTGACATGAAAGAAGATATGATGATGGGTGAACATATCAACAAGTGGAACATCATTTGAGACACAGCTCAAAACTCAATGTACCACTACAAAGGTCATACTGGGTATAAAGCAACCAGTTGCCAGGACATCAGACTGCAGAAGCTAGATCTAATTCTTCATTAAGCCCTCCAGGGAAAAGGCTGTTGAGGGTGTAAATCCAGTAGGCTTCCCACCGGCATAGTCTCCTATATCTATTTCCTTCGTCCAAATCTGTGGACATTAGGTCAATCCCAAAGAGTTTCCTCCGGGTTATGGTTGTGGAGCTGTAGGAAATGTCTAGGGAGTGAATGGTCGTCTACTACTTTTCTGGATGTTTCTTTTGTGTTCTCCAAATCTGACACGCATAGCTCTGGTCGTGCGTCCTACATACAGTTTTCCACACGGGCGTATGATCCCATAAATTACATAGCTGGAGGAACAGTTGATGAATTGTTTAATTTGAAATGTTTTACCATTTGGCCCATCAATGCTTTTCTTTCTGATCTTATCAATAATGCGTTTTCGAAACACAGAGTGCTCCATGGTAAAAGTTCCCCTTCCTGTAAAAAAGAGAAAAACATTAAAGGTATCCATGATAAATACCAGACCAACGGTGGATAAGCACCTCATGTTCTGACCATTACATGCCTATATTTATTCAACTCTTGTGAGTACCACTACACCAGTTTTGATTTGTTTAAATAAAACGTTTTTACGCAATGGAGGCGCTCTCTGTGTCTTGTTTTGCAGTGCTGAGGTTTTCCTAGAACCAAGTGAGAGCTGCCTCGTTAGCGTCCTGCTTTACGATGGTTGCAGACTGTCTCCTTTGAACTCACAGCGCTGGCGCTGTGTTAAAGATTGTCTGCTACCTCGCATCTTATCTGAGGTATTCCCCCTAAATTTTCCCCCTTTGCTCCAAAAAATGAAGTCGGGCCTCCAAGGCTGGTCCCATCTGACATTCTCCTGGACTGGCCGATGCGATGTGATCAAGCAGAACATTCTTCCCAGCCTCCTTAATCCGTTGCAGACTCTTCCTATTTATATCTCATTGGCCTTTGTGGCCTCGGTCCAAGCTGCCATCACTGAATTTATCTGGTCACAAAAGCCCGCTAGGATTAAACACTCCATCTTAAGACGACCCAAACGGGAGGGAGGTTTACCCCTCCCTGACATCTACTTCTAGTATCTTGCAATAGACCTATCACGCATTTTGGACTGGTGTAGACACCAGGAACTCAAGGCCTGGGTCTCATTAGAACAATCCTTTTCTTCTATCCCATTACGTACCCTTCCTTGGTGCGCTCACTCGATCCCGCAACACCTCTTGGCGCACCCAACTATTGGCCCTACATGGAAAGCCAGACGTGTGGCCTTCGAGTCTAAGGGGATCTCCATCTCCCCTTCCCCTTTCAACCCGGTCATCAGGACCCCTGACTTCTCGTCTGGCATCCAGGACCCCGCGTTTACATTTTCTCCAAGGCTCAGAATGGCCTTCTCACCCTGATCTCTCTTCTGATCAGGTTGGGGTTCTGGAGACTACATCAACTGTCACATTTCCTATCCTCCCTTCCCCCGCCACATATGCTCGCTACACCGCTGTCTTTATTTGAACGTGAATGTTCTGGAACAGGTCCACTGCCCAAAACTCTCTCACTGACTTATCAACTGTTGCTCCTTCCAGACCTCGACCAGTCTTTGAGAGCTGGGAACGAGACCTCGGGGTTCAATTCTCCTCAGTTCAACAATCTCGGATTCTCCAGTTCTCTATGAAGTCCTCCATCAGTAACAGGTACCAGGAAATAGGGTATACAATACTGACTAGGTGGTATAGAACCCCTCACAGGCTTCACCAGATCTTCCGTGACACCACAGCCTGCTGCTAGCACTGTGGCCCCTCTCCGGCTGACATGCTCCACGTATTCTGGTCCTGCCCACGGTTGGCCAATATTTGGACCCAGAAAAGGGACGTTATGCAATACTTTACGGAAGCACACTTCCATTCAACACTGTGTTCTTCCTACTTTACCATAATGACCACTCCCTGAAGGGCTATACATGCTCTATCTTTATTAATTTGGTGAATGCGGCAAGAGCATGCATTCCTGTCATATGCCCACATGCGGCTAATGTATACGATAAGGTCAGTAGGTATAGAGAATTCCATCTGTAATTGGGTAGAAAACTGGCTTAAAGACCGAATTCAGAGAGTGATGATCAATGATTCGTACTCTGAATGGCCTGAGGTTGTTAGTGGTGTCCCCCAAGGTTCAGTGTTGGGTCCCTTACTGTTTCACTTATTTATAAATGACATAGAATTGAGGATTAAAAGTACTATTTCTGTGTTTGCAGATGACACCAAGTTATGTAGTGGAATACATTCCTTACAGGATGTCTCCAACTTACAAGCAGATCTGAATGCACTGTATGATTGGGCATCTATTTAGCAAATGAGATTTAATGTTGATAAATGTAAAGTTATGCACTTGGGGACTAAAAACAAACATGCGTCATACACTCTAGGGGGAGTATGTTTGGGGGAATCAATGGTGAAGAAAGATCTGGAGGTTCTGGTATAATAGCATGCAATGTCAAGCCGCAGTTTCTAAAGCAAGCAAAACACTTTCTTGTATTACAAGGGGTCTAGACTCCAGAGATAGAGACATCATCCTGCCCCTGTATAAAGTATTAGTGAGACCTCATCTGGAATATGCAGTTCAGTTTTGGGCACCAGTTCACAAAAGGATGTTGTGGAACTGGAGAAAGTGCAGCGAGGGGCAACTAAACTCATAAGAGGCATGGAGGAGCTCACCTATGAGGAAAGATTAGCTGACCTGAATTTGTTCTCTCTGGAGAAGAGGCAATTAAGGGTGGACATGATCACCATGTGTAAATACATAAATGGTCCATATAAAGAGCTTGGTGCCAAATTATTCACATTAAGGTCAACCTGACTAACTATGTAACTATGGAAACAGTCCGCTCCTCCTACCTTAGGCCAATGGGTCCAGCGAGTGAAAGACATCAAGCATATGGAGGATCTTACTAGCTCTCTGAAGGGTACTGTGCATGGGTTCTCGGCCACGTGGTTTTATTGGTCGGAGTTCTTAGAATCAGACAAATATAGCCAACTGCTGGGAGTTTGATGCCTTGTGACCCTGGGGGAGGGTGGGGGGCGTTCCTCTGTCCCTGTTTATCCTTGCTTTTAAATTTTATTTGCTCCCTCATCTTGATGAGAGCGAATGATGGACAATTTGCACAAATCAGTAAATAATGATATCGAGCTTCAGGAGAAATAACATTTCAGCTGGAACCAATCGAACGAACCTACGATTCACGGGAGGAAAGGAATTCGCGTGCGATACTGCTACCTTGTGGTGACATTTCCCGCCATAGTGAGAGGACGCGCGTTACATGAAAGGAAACCAGTTAAATCGAGTAAGTATGGATTTAATTAATTCTTTGGCTGCTAAAAGCAAATTGGAATTTAAAGTTTTGCATGGGGTATGGGGTAATCTGTGAGAACAGTGTTGATCAGACTGACCCAGTAGAGTGACAGTTTGGACACCTATGATTGACTCTTTTTTAAAAAAAATCTTATTTTTTGCATAATTACCTGTGGCATTGCCAGATTAATGCTTGATGTATAGAGTTTGCTTTGAATTCTAGAGTGAGTTTACACATGCACATGTCATTTTTGTATAGTAAGTTTGATTAAGATCACTTATCACATATCACTTAGTTGAATATATTGAAGACTACAAGTCCGGACACTGGTAATAATAATTTTATTCAAAAGATCACGGATTCACACAGTTTTATAATAACACAGATTCATTTGTTTACAGAGACCACAGAACAAACATTTATTAATTCACCAGTTCACCCATTCAAAATTTATTCACCAATTTTTTTCACAGTAAATGGAGGAGAATTACAGCTGGTTCTCCCTGATTTAAATTCACCTAGCGCAACTATTGGCATTTGATATTCACGGGTTTTCACCTTATTGTTGCAGCTAGCATTATAGAATATATATTTAATTTTTAGAATAATCAACTCCAAGCGCAACTAGTTGTTGTTATAAGTCTGCCATAATGTGATAATATGCTGTGCTTTTATGTATTATACTTTTACTTTACAAAATAGCCAGGGTTTTATGTAATCTCTAGGCTTAAAATGTACATTGTAACGCGTCCACAAAATTAAAAGCAGCCCAGGTAGCCCTTAAAGTTGAACTCTAGGCAAATCAAATCTTAGCCCCTGCAGAGGGGCCCGTTTTGTCTAGGGAGCTAAAAGGGAGGGGAATAGCCCCACTGCAATGGTTAAGATTTGATTTGCCCAGAGTAATGCTTTAAAATCAGTGTTCTTATTCACAGCAAACCACAAGTAATACTGTTTGCTTTGTGAAGTGACTGTTAATAAGCTGCAAGCTTAGGTATATTATTATGTACACATCCTCTTTTATAAATAAAAGTAGTGAAGCTTGCTTTGCAACTTTAATGTCACACTGAACATAAGAGTATACACTCTTCAGAACGTTGAAACCAGCAGCATAGTAAGTGTTGTGTCTTTACTGTCTTGATATATTACTTTTGAGCAAGCTAATGTTTCTTTTTCCTGTCTCCAATGGGTAGAATGAATTCGCTACTAACATATAAATGTCTTCTGAAGGTGGTTGCTGTGTTTTGTCTTCTATCAAGCATAATTTATTATAAAAAACTGAATAAGGTAACATTATGATATAAGTAATAATTTTGTCTAATAACTTTTCAAAAACATATGTAATGATGTTTATTTATAAGCTTGGTCCTCTTTTTTTTATGTACATTGGTGCATACACTGTGTTCATGATTTCTCTTCATGTCCAATGAAACCGGTAGCATAAAGGTCCCTCGATTCAAGAGTACTGTACTATATATGGGACATTTTAGGTTCATTTCAAACTAGACTGCAAATTTACACATGTTGCACTGCAGCTTGCAAAAGTGAAAAAAAAATCTGGAGCAGCTGTGCATGACAACCAATCAGCTTCCCACTTCAGTTAAGCTTTGAAAATGAAAGATGTATGCTGATTGCTTGCCATGCACAGCTGCTCCAGATTTTGTCTGCTCCAGTGTGTTTGCGTGTTCTCTCTCTCTCTCATCGCGACTCCCCCTGTTCACTTGCGGGACCCCATATGGGGTCGCGACCCACACTTTAAGAAGCACTGCTCTATACAGTGGCAGAACTACCAAGTTCACATAGTTGCAGCTACGACTGGGTCCTAGCATTCCACCACTTGGGGGGCCCAGACAGGAAGAAGGGGGCCATGGTAACCGCCGACAATGCAGGTTCCCACTTCCATCTTTCATACTGTGCCTTTATAATGTGCATCACAAACAGGGCAGCCATCAGAAATTGCGGGGCCCCCTACACCCGGTCCCCCTACACCCGCACCGCCAGGTCCCCCTACCGTCGCACCGTTATTATTGGGGAGAGGTACGGTTCTGGAGGAGGTGCACACAGACTTGCAGGCAGTGTCTGGCGTCCGGATTGATTGCTGGAATGCCAGACAAGTGCTGGGCTACGGCTTAAGCCGAAGAGGGAGGCGGACCTGAATGACGTGGGACTGCCGGGGTCGGCGCCACTGCTCGTCCACGTAACGCTGGACAGGGCCGGCGCCATGTTTGTGGTCTACAATGACCCCCAAATCCTTCTCCATTTCTGACTTCCCCAGCGGCATACCCATAATTGTATAACCCATTTGTTTATTTTTAATTCCAAAGTGCATTACTTTGCATTTATCGACATTAAACCTCATCTGCCACAGTGTAAGTGGCGGATCCAGATATCCCTGGATCTGCCGCTGCAGCTTTGTATAATGTATTGCTGGAATTCAGTGGCGTAACTAGAACCTTCAGGGCAAGACACTATGAAGAGCCCTCCTAACCCCCAGCCGTCATGAAACTGTGTGGTTAACAGGAAGGCTGCCAAGGTCCCCAGCAAGCGTGGGACCTCAGGCAGCCGCTTCAGTTTAAAAATTTAGTGCCGGTGTTCTGTCGAGCACGCCGACCCAGTATCTGTGTTTTCACACAGACCGATCCCGGTTTCCTCAATCCTACTGGTCTGTGAACAAGCGCAGAGGCTGAGGTCGACAAGTTCGATTACGTTGGCGTTCTCGACAGAACACCGGTATCTGCGTTTAGTATCGGGGCATTTTCACGAGTATGAGTGAAAATACCCAGTATTGGCACCGACTGGTGCATACCTACTTAAAAATATAATGCATTGCTGGGACTTGTAGTCATTCATAGTTGGTGATATTCTGCATTGCTCTATAATGATTACACAGCAATGCAGAATACCACCAGCTATGCAGGACTAAAAGTCCCAGCAATACATTATAATAAAAATCAGGGGGATCCTGAATACCACCAGCACCCCCCTCCCCCTTCCCGGTCCAGACTTACCTGACATTCATGCAGGACCCTCTTCTGTGTCTCGCCGGCCAGGTGGCGGGGCTAAGAAGAGAGGGTCCTCACACAGAAGAATGTGCTGCCTGGCGGTGCCTGCAGTACATTCTGCTGGACTAGTGACAGCCTCTCCAGCACCACCGCACAGCCGCCCGTACATGCTGCGGGTGGCAGAGCGGCGGGGAAGGAACCGCACTATCTCGGGGGTGGGGGGCTCTTCTTCCCATCTGTCCCCCCCCAACAGGCGGAACGCCAAGGCCCGGTCGAAGACCCCTGCTTCCCTGGTAGTTCCGCCAGTGCTGGAATTTGTAGTCCTGTATAGCTGGTGGTATTCTGCATTTTTGTATTCGCCCCCATTTTTGAGTGTTTTTAATTGCGTTTCAGCGCTGAAACGTGACTAAAAACAGGCGCCTGAATGGCGCCTGAATGAGGCCTAACACTTTACTATAATACTGCTACACCAATGAGAGGCTGAGGAAAGGGGGATTATAAAAAAAATTAAGGTACACTAAACTGTAAATAAGCGATGTATGTTATAAATGGTTTTTGCGCTGTGTTGGTGTTGTGATAAAATAATACAGGCGTATATTTAATTACAACACAAGGTATCACAATGCACGGCAATGCGTCACAAAGCTTTGCCATGCGCTGCCACAGTTTATTTTCCGATAGAAAAAAATCATGCACTGCGATGCGTTCCAACAATGCACTGCAGCGCATGTGCCTGGCGTACACCACAATATGGTGCACATGTATGTTATGTGTGTGTGGGGAAGGGTTTGTGCTTTATTTTATTTACACATTTATTTTTTAATTATTTATTATTATTATTTTACTGTGGGGGGGGGGGGTTGTCGGGGGAAATATCAGGGGTCTAAACAGACCCCTGACATTTCCCTTTTGAATTAGAAAAATACATTCAGGACACAGAGTCCTGACTGTCTTTTTCTGCAGCCTCAGCACAGTGAATGGGAAGCACTCAGTACAGAGGCTTCCCATCCATTCAGATGGGCTGATAGTAAGATATTTACTATCAAGCAGATTCTCAATGGGGAAAAGCCTCTGTAGTGAGTGCTTCTCCCCATTGAGAAATTCATGAATGAACAGGAAGTGATGTAAATCACCTCATGTTCATTCATAACTGGGGACACATAGTACTATGTGTCCTCAGTTATTTAGAAACACCTGAGTGATCAGACGATCACTCCAGTGTTTGTGCTGCACACGGAGGATCGGTAAATATCAATGAGGTCGATAAGACGAAACGCGTCGGGGCGGGCCTAACCTCATGCTACACCAGATACAGGATTTTGTAGTCCTATTTGATTCGAATAAAATCCTTTTGACACTTCTACACTATGAGAGGTCTTTTTCTTGTATGATCCCGAAGATAAACCATTTACCGGTCAGAGACCGACGAGAGTTGCAGCGGGGACACCACAACTTCAGGAGAATTCATTTCTCTAAAAGCTATTCAGGCTGCTTACCACAGCCACTACATTGTGGTGAGTATATACCCTGAGGGGATTTACACGGCATTTGCCGGCATCCCCAAACAAACAGCACGGAACTGTTTCCTGAATTCACAACCTGCTCATGCTTGGAACACTTTATTGTTATTCACGTGTTTGAAAAAAAGAAAAAAAGAAATACACAACACTCGTTGGACTTTTTCACTCTGTATTTTATTTTTTTCAATTTAATTTTTTTCAATTTTTTCAAAAGTGGACACAGTTTCACATGTATTTGATTTCGTTTCACTGAATAACACTTATTCACACTATATAATTAATGGTGTTTGTTCACGTTATATAATTAATCACTAATTTACCATTGTGTTGGCGCTGCATAATCGAAACATTTTTATGCTTTGACCTGTGTGGTCTTTTTTTGCTGCAGCCTTCATATCCATTTATTTATCACGATGCACTTTACATTGTACAGTCACTAGTATTTGTTCACATTATATAGTATATTTTTCTGTGTTGGCGCTGCATAATCGAAAATCTAATCTAAGAAGATCGTTTTAAGGGGACGATTCTGTGTAGAAGGGTCAGGCATCTATACCAACGAGATAAGATCTTATATCCCTTCTCTTGGTACGAAGAGGTAATAGATATTTTATGAGTTGGTATAAAGGATTTTTGCACCTCCTTATCTGTCAAAAAGATTTAGAGATCTTTTTCTCATGCTGAAATAAAATAAGGCCTTAAAGAAGATCGTACATTCAATATATTACAATAAAGTATAGAGATCACATGGGTTGGTCCCTCCTTCTGACAGCAAAGAGTTTCAAACCAGGTAAGTGGTCTATGTAACGGGGCTTTCTTCTGTAATTTATCATACAAGGCTCTAAGTTGAAAATATGTTGGTGTAAGAGCATCCATTTTTGGTGAAGGTGAGCATTGGGACCATTGAAGAAATTGTCTAATTGAATCTCCCAGTTTAAATAATGGATTCCCCATTATAGGGGTCAAAGGTCCCACATTAGTTGAACTCTGAATATCCTTCAGCAGATAATCCCACACTTTCAGAAGAGAAGGCATGCAAAAAGAAAGAGCCTGATTAGGAGGTCAAAACTCAGGCTTTATCTATGGTATGAAAAATAGAAGGATACGAGAAATCTCCTTCTCCAAACTGACCTATAGTATATGAATATCATTAAACTTTTAATCAAGTATATGAGACAATAACGTAGAATAATAATAATGTCCCCAAATCTGGAAGGTCCAGTCCACCCATCTCTTTCCTTCTTATAAGAATATGATATGCTAATCTGGGAGGGTGTCCTGCCCATATATATTGCAGCAATGCCGAGCGGTTCTGATAAAAAAAGGAGGCAGGTACATCAATAGGAAAAGTTTGAAAAAGATATAAAAACCGGGGAAGTATATCCATTTTATAAACTGCTACCCTAACTACCCAAGAATGTTGGTAAGATGCCCACCTCTTCATGCGCGCAATAGAAGATTGTAAAAGGGGTATATAATTAAGGCTGTACAGCCCGGTCAAATCTTTAGAAAGAGATATTCCTAAATATTTTATAGCAGAAGATTGCCATTTAAATGGAAAATTGACAATCAGATGGGAGACTTTCTCTTCAAGCAATGATACATTCAGCGCCTCTGTCTTCTTTTAAGGTTAACTTTAAAGTTGCTAACCAGCTCAAATTTATGGATTTCCTCCAGCAGAGATGGGAAACTCACCCTTGGATTTGATATATATAATAGGACATCATCCGCATATAGGCCAATTTTATATTGCTCCTTAGTGCAAATACCCCCTTAATAGATAGATTTCTACAAATTGCTTCAGCCAAATGTTGCATAGCTGGGACATACAGTATTGGGGACAAGGGGCACCCCTGCCTGGTACCATTCCAAATACTAATAGTAGGCAAAAGAAAGCCATTTACCCTAACTCTTGCAGTAGGTTTTGTATATAAAGCCATCATTTTATCTACTACCATTCTAGGTGTACCTACCTGTAACAAAGTATGGGATAAAAAGTCCCAACTCAGCCGGTTGAACGCCTTTTCGGCATCCACCGAAAGAATACATAAAGGAAATCCAATACCTTTGGCATATCTCATAAGGGTCAGCGTCTTAATAGTGTTATCCCTAGCTTCTCTGCCAGGGACAGAATAATTTGAATAATTGATGGAATAAAGGCTCCTATCGGTGTACGATAATTTTTACATATATTTTTAAATCTACATTAATAAGAGATATAGGCCTATAATTCTGGCAAAGAGTAAGAACAAAGAGTACAGAGTAAGAATCAGCCAATCCAGATGTTGGATCGGCTGAGTCGAACTCCTTCTGAGTTTCTCAATGGGGAGTAGAACTCTGTACAGAGGCTCCTCCCCATTCAGAAACTGGATGATAGTAAATAGTTTCTGAATGAATGGGAAGCCTCTGTGCTTTCCATTAATTTAGAACAGAGGCTGCAGAGAAAGAGATTGAGGACTTTGTGTCCTCAATTTCTATTTTGTATTTTAAAATAATTTGTTTTATTCTATTTCTGTTTAGACCCCCTAATATTTTCCCAAAGGCCCCCCAACAGTAAAAAAAAAAAAATAAATAAATAAAAAATAATGCAGTGCATTCAAGCAAGGAAGAGAGAGAAGACAAAGAGAGATAATACTATATTCTAATAATACAAAATTCATCACAGATGAAAAAGAAAGATTTAATAAACAAAATAAAAATTATTCTATTAAAGGTGCAGACGAGACTAGGAAAGCAAAACACTAGTAAATCTCTGGGAGCAGATGGCATATATTCATGAGTCCTAAAAGAACTGAGTCATGTGATTGCCAGGCCAATATTCCTAATCTTTAAGGATTATTTAAGGACAGGAGAGGTTCCAGATGATTAGATATGTAATGCCAATTTTCAAGAGGGGTTTAAGATGTTTATTGGATAACAACAGGCCAGGCAGCCTTACTTCAATAATATGCAACGTTTTTGAGGGAATGGTTAGGGACTATATACAAAACTTTACATGTGCTAACGATATCATAAGTATAGGCCATAATTGGATTTATGAATGGGCATTTTTGCCAGACATATCTACTAACATTCTCTGAGGAAGTGAGTACTAATGTGGATAGAGGAATCGCAGTAGATGTGGTCTATCTGGATTTTGCAAAATCATTCCATACAGTACCCCACAAGTGATTAATCTACAAATTAGTCTATTGGCATTTAGAAATCTATATGATCATGGGTGGATAACTGGTGGCAAGTCCACACCTAGAGGGTAGGGATAAATGCCTCCTTCTCAAATAAGAAAGCCCTCTGCTGCAGTTCTCCATCTGGTCCACCTGATTGACAGCAGCAGAGGGTGGGTACAATGCTAGTTTTGAAATAGCCAATAGGAATCTAGCAATGAATTCCTACGGGCAACAATCTTTTTTTTTAATATTCTGAAAAAGAAAAAGCAGTGTTTCTCTCCTTGGCGGCCGGGAATGGGAGACTCCCGGAGCGAGTTTTTTTTTTTTGACGGCAGCAGAACCCCCGGACAATAGAAAACAGTTGGGCGGAGCTAGCTGTCACTGCTAGCTCCGCACAATCGTTTTCTATTTATTTTTTATACTTTATGCTCTGCGGCATTCGGCTATTCACGCACTGCTGTTCGGCATCTATAAGAATAGACCGAACAGCAGCGAGTAGCCTGCCGGAGGTTCGGCTTAGCCGATCCAGATGTTGGATCGGCTGAGTCGAACTCCTTCTGCACTTCGGGTCAACCCGAAGCCACCCGATGTACGGCTGATTTCAGCCGATATACAGCTGAAATCAGCCATACCAGCCTGAAGTGAATAGCCGAGCAGCGTTCGGCTCACTTCACTTCAGGACGGTCATGCACTCGGCTGCCTACGGCAGCTTAGTGAATAGGCCACAAAGACTGCAACCCAGGGATAAAAGCAGCTAAAAGTCCGGGGTTCTGTCAACCTCGGCAGTCACCACTGGGTGGAGCTGGTGATGCAGAGAGGTAGGAAGAGCTTCCTAGTACTGCCGAGGTTTGCAAGACTGGACTTTTAGCTGCTTCCAGCCTTGGGTTCCATTCTTTGTTATTCAGTCAGCTTTTACTGCTTCATGTGAGTAGCTGTTTAATAAAGACATCTTTTATAAAAGACAGTGAGCATTATGGTATTCATCCCCTTGTATTTTTGAGCAATCACAACATATTAATGTTGTGCTAGGAGGACACTGTTGTAATAACAAAAAAAGGGAAGAGCTCTGGATAAGTGGACTCCACGGAAGGTAGATCCTCACCTCATCAAAGGCAGAAAAGCGTTCTCAAACTCTGCATGTGGGTTTGTCCATATGGTGAGCTGCAGTAGATTTGGGATACATGAGGTGTCTGGTTATCTGGTGGTGGACACACTACTTGCAAATACATTGCACATAATCCTGTTTTCCATGTATGCTGGCAAAGACAATTGCATACAGTACATCAATGTCTCTTAAGAAGGGCTTGCACATAATTAGACTTCCTTGAGACTGCTTCATAGTGGTTGTATGTAGCAGGGACGTGCAGTCAGAGGGAGCAGGTGAGACTAGTATTAGGAAGAAAAAAGGTGTCAGCTTCAAGTCTGAAACTGACAGCTTTTTCTCCAATCAGAGCAACTTTTTACAGGTTACACAGCAGGGAAAGCCTCCCCGCTTTTCACAGGTAGCGCTGAATCAAGATTTTGACAGGTAGTTAGGTTACACAGCAGCGGGATTCCCCACTGCTTGTGTAACCTAACTGGTGAGGCAAGAGCTTTCACAGCCTCTACTCTGTGTTAGAGGCATAAACTCTGCGGATGGCTTGAACCAATGGCAAAGCGCCATCATTGGTCCAAGCTTTCCAATCAAAAAAAAAGATTTAAAAAAGTGAGGACGTAGATCTCAATGCCTCAGCAGTGATTCACCAGTCTCCTCCCTTCCTCCTCCCCACACAGTTAGCTTTCTGAGCTGGGGTGGAGCTTCAGTGGGATGGGGCGGAGCTTTGGTGGGATGGGCCGGAGCTTTCGACAGGCTGATGGATGCCTCACCCAGCACAGAAAGACACGACACGTCACTGGTATGTAGTATATGCTTTTTGGATACCTGGCATCATTGTCGTAATCCACTGGTTACTGTGTCACATATTGTTTACATTGGAAAAAAATCTCTTATATGTACTTATCAATCTTTGGCATTTGAATTGTAGGACAGCACTTTTGATTTTGTAAAGCTTTAAGGTTAGTGATTTATCTAGAATCACCACTGCTCGCTTGCTAAAGAAAATACACTTATTGGCTCGAGATTTTCTTGCGTGAGTATAATATTTTTCTTCTATTTCGTTAAAGTGTTGGATGCAAGATGCCTCTTATATATTATCAGATGGGACAGTGGCACAGACATCAAAACTTCAACTGGAAATAAAAAACATTTTAAATCGAATAGATCAGACAATCCCTAAAAATAATATTACAATCAAAGCAAAAGCAACCAGTGCTAAAGACAGCAATGTTTTCCTAAGAAATCCAAAGAGCAGCTATTGTGTTGGAGATCATTTAATAGTACGAGTTGAAATGTTTGACTACCAGGGAAATCAGAAGACATATGGAGGGGACTTTTTAAGAGCAAGAATGTTTACATCAGAGCTTGGAGCAGCATCTTCTGGTAAAATTGAGGACTTTTATAATGGGACTTATCATGTCCATTTTACTTTGTTCTGGGAAGGTAAAGTAAATATCTCTATATTTCTAATGCATCCTAGTGAAGGATCATCAGCTCTTTGGAACTTCAGAAACAAATGGCATGGATATGTAGACCATATGGGTAAATATACCAAACATCAAGAAGTACAAGAGGTAGAATGTGGATTTGAACGCATGAAAACGCAAGAGCTTTGTGAATATAAAGACGAGCGAGATGAAGAATATTTTTACTGTGCCAAACCTCAGAATTTTAGCTGTGAATCGCTTACTGATGTAAAGGGCTGGATGAAGCAGAAGACACTTTTCACGGAGTTCGAGTATAGTTTATTTAACACGTAAGTAAATGATGCATTCATACTAGTTTATGTTCAGCATATTGTTTTTATTATTGGATAGCGTAGGGAAGGATTAGAACCCCTGTCAAGTATTTATTGCTTGTAAAGAATGCAAGAAAGAAAATGTAAAGCCCTGGATAATTTTTTTGTCACAATAAAAGATTCTTTAAGAGAATATTACCCAATGCACTTTGGAGACTGTATAGAAGACCACCTCCATCTGGGCTAAAACGTAAAGAGAACAAAGTATATATATATATCTTCAGAAGCTGGGGAGAGGCTGGTGAATCAGTTCTCTGCTTCGTCAGCTTCTCTGGTGGTCCCTAGGTGACAGCAGGGTGTCCTTGGGACCCCTGATATATCCATAAAAAGGACCTGTCGTGTAAACTGGCTATCACATATGGGGATTCTTAGCCCCCCATGTGATAGCAATAAAGTTAGGTGTAAAAAAAAAAAGTGTAATAATTTTTTTTTTAAAGAAGCTTAAAAAAAAACTAAAAAAGATTTAAGTTGCCTGCCCTCCACATACACACACAAACATACGTTAGGTGCGTCTACATGTAAAAATGACGATTGCGAATATTGTGACGCACATGTTACATATCATCACGAACGTCGCAGTGAGAGCAATCATTTTAGGGCAATTAATCACTGATAACATTAAACTGATGAGCAGTAAAAGCGTTTAAAGTGTCCCCTATGGCCAATTTTTTAAGTGGGTGCTGCAGTGATAGTAGATGGCACCACTTTATATCCAAATAGTAAAGTATATCACCAGCACACCAAAGTAAAATCTTCAACGAGTGATCATTTTATTGATGTAGGTGGTGCAGAATTTAACTGTGCAATCTGATGGCCAGTTGCTTGATTACACTCTAATTGGTCAGTAGATCTGCACCACTCATGGACCAGCAGGGAGGAGCATATACATCTAAAGGGATGCTGGGGACATGTTCTTTCATATACTGGACGTGAGCAGTAGTACAATGATTGATGTTAGCTCTAAAGATCACAACCACACATGATAAAGAGCAAAAATGATGGACAGCAGAGAAAGCTGATAGCTGTGAGAGGTGGGCCAACAGCAGTACAGATAAGGAGAAAGGATGGAGGATTACTGAAGTCGTTCAGGAAGGAAATGGAAGCAGGCTCAAGATAGGTGTTGCAGCTTCAAAGGGTTTTATTGAAGAAATGCAAGTTTTCATAGAATTGAGAGTAATGAGTTTTAACACAGGAGAGGACAATTGTATAAGAAAAAGGCAAGAGTTCAACCCTAATTTTGTGTGTTTATTTTCATTATTATTAAAAGTAGTATTCTGAAAAAAATGAAACATTGGTCAGAATTTGGTGTCCCAGAAGACGAGTGATCTCATATTATCTAAAAAAATATTTTTTTTTAAATATGGAATATAAATTAAAATAAAACGTTTTAATTATGTTGTGATTAATTGATCTAACATTTACTTTTAATGTTGATTCCAAGGTCTAACATCAGAGTGAAAATTCCAAAAGACTTTGACGCTATCAATGTGTTATCCTGCAACAACAGTACGTTTTTCTATTGCAACATGTTTTGCTACGATTAGTGATGGTCTCGATGTTCGAGCCGAACGTGATTTCGTCTCGAACATTGGCAGTTTGTGTGTTCTGTGAACACATGAACTGTCAGGGCATTTTGCGGGCTTTTTCGCCCGTCCACGGGCCCTGCAATGCACTGTGCCTTGTGAGCCCTGATTGGCTAAAACCTTGCACCTGACCCAGTACTCTGTAAGTCATGATTGGGCAAAGTCCAATCATGGACGTGGACAACGCTGGATGTTGTGATTGACCCTAGGATCACATCGGTGGATCCATGTTTTTTTTGTTTTAATAAAAGGTTTGTCAAAAACATGTCTTTTGCTTTTTTTTTTTCAAATAGAGGATTTTTTTCAAAAAATTATTTTACAATTTTATTTAACCCCTTAGTGAAAGGGTAGGGGTACAGGTACCCCTTACTCATTCACAAGGGGGGCACATCTGGGTGCCCCTTTATTAAAGGGGTACCCTGATGTGAATAAGCCCTCTGCCCGCACCCCCACAACCAATGCCCAGGGCATATGGGAAAGAGGCTCTTGTCCCCATCGGCACAGGGACAAGGTGCTTTTCCAGGGGCGACACTGAAAAAGCACCATCCCAGTGCCAAGGGCATGTGGCCTGGTAGCGCAGGGAGGGGGTGGGTGGGGCGCTCATTTGTCCCCCCCTTTCCTCCCCTGCCAGGCCTGTGCTTGGATCAAGGGTCTAGTATGGAATTTTAGGGGGGACCCAACATTTTTCCCCCATTTTGGGGGGTGGGGTTCCTACTTAAAATTCCTACCAGACCTTGAGGGTCTGGTATTACTTTTGGGAGAACCCCACACTTTTTTTTTTTTTTTCCTTTAAATAACATGCTCGGGGGATGCCCTGAACCTGACTGTGAAGTGGTGCACCTGAGTGAATTATACAACCTGTGTTCGGACCTAATTTTGATAAGTTTTCAATCCACTAAAGATGGAAAAATGATACAGTTTTGCACCATAGCTATTTAACCTGTATGGACAGGCTGCAATTTCTGAGCAATCAAGTTTTAAATTGAAAAGAGACAAATGGTACAGATTTGCACCACACCTTTGAATTTCTGAAGAGAGCAAGCAGATTGCACCTGGAAATAGAAAATACCGTAAGTGTCTTTTTCAGAGACTGAAGAAGAAAAAGATGGAAAAAGGTTGCACATTAGCACCACAGCTATTAGAGCTAGGTCACACCATAAACTACATCACAAATGCTTGCATATGCGCAGTTGCATTGCAATCCATTTTGACACGTTTGTAATGCATTTTTGATGCGTTCCGATGCATGTTTTTTTAAAAACTAAAAATGCAATTTCATGCCACTATATTTATGAATGCTAACTGCATTTAAACATATACTGTAGATGACATTACTTCGGTGAAATAACCACCACCATGTCAACAGCAATACATTAATTCGGACAGTGCACAAGATACACCAGCATGACTTCTACATGGAAAGGGGGAGTGCGAGTAGTTTCTACAAACAGGAGGACACTGTTTATAACAAATATGTGAGGAGTGGAGATGGGGGTGGCTGATTATTCTGCATACTCTTTAGTACATGGGTGGTATACAACTATCTAGCTTGGCTGCATATAAAACATCAAAGTTGCTGAGAAAGAGAACCACATTTTTCTTTTTGCACCTTGTTCAGACCAGAAAAATCAGGGTATAATTTAGCAGTTATTCTGTTCTTATTCGTTTCTTATTCGTTTCGTTCGTTGGAGTAAAGTGACATTAGAGAAGGAGAAAAATATTTTTTCCCCCTCAAATGTCACTTTTGCTGCAAACGAACGAAACGAATAAGAAACGAATAAGAAACGAATAAGAACAGAAAACGAAACGAACCTTCATACTAACGCTACCGAATTTCGTCCGAATTCCGAATCCGAATTGACTTTTACACCCGAATCCCGAAAAACAAAATAACACAAATCCGAATTTAAAACGAAACGAAACGAATTTGTTGGCAGTGCACATGTCTACCGCTGGCTCTATAGCCGGCTGATTGCTTGTATGTAAACAGGCATCGCTGCCTGTTTTTAAATTTTGGTTGTTTCCCACATGCACGTGCGATTGCCTGGGGCTAACAGGCCATATACGCATGGCCTGTTACATCCAAGATGCTCCCGGCCGGCCGGCGGTTAAAGCGTATGCTATATGACATGCGCATACGTGAATATAATAACACACGCCACCTAGGGGAAAATATGTGATATGCTGCGCGTGTTCGCTTTGTAAATACGCTTTTTCACATGTGCGCGTGTTGGTGTTAGTAATTCAGGCCCTATGTGTCTGCGTACTGGCTATATAAACATTTGTGTATCGGAATCATATTTTGTGGAAAACCAACAAATCCGATTTGTCATTTTAATTTTCGCAGGTACTACTGATATAAAAAAAAAATGCACATTTGGAATGAAGTTAGAATATCCCAGTGGATATGTCATGAAGAACGTATGGTATCCGAAGGCATGCAGTATGCTGAAATATGATCATTTGGAAAAACTTGGCGAATGCATGCAAGGGAAGTTCATCTACCTGTTTGGTGATTCATCTATAAGAATGTGGATACTGTATTTTCAGAGATATTTGAAAAGTAAGTTTGAAATGATAAAATAGGGTTTTTCCTTTTTGGAGCTATTATAATAAAATTAGGCCAACCCCTTGTGGGCCTTGAGTATGCAATGTATGGCTTAAAAAATACTTAATCTAAGTGTCCTAGGTTTACCTTGTACACTTCGGTCTTCCTCTCTTCTGTAGTTGCTGTACCAGTTAAAATTACCAGGACAGGCTGTTATTTTGACAGCCATGTCCCAGTCTCTACTGATTACTTAGGGTTCATAAATACATTGTAGAATAATTATTGTTACTAGTTCTTCCAGCATCTTTACATAATAACAGGTAAAATAGCCTCACATGTAAACTTAAAGTTTCTATTTAATTCCCTTTCATTTTAGTTCCTTTCGTGCTATTTTGTGCTGGATAAAATAAAAAAAGTGCAAAATGTAAACTTTTTTTATTTGTAAATAACTTTGCCATGCTTTGAAACAGTAGGAAAAATATTGGGATCAGCACTTAACCGAGACACCAACCCCTGAATACAATCATAAATACCAAAAATAAATAAATGGGGCTTTTTAGGTGACTCATAAACAATGCAAGGACATGCAGTTAGACATAATGCCACGCGAGTCATTATTGTATAGTAAAATTCATATATAATAATGTAATTTCATGATTAGCAAAAAATTGTATAAAAAAAAAACATAACACACTCATCTAAAAACAGGAACATTATACATATAAACAGCATGTCACCTCTAGGAATCCGTACAGATTTATATTGTGCAAAATAGCAATAATTTATATTTGTAATTGGATTGCAAACATCCATAATTCATTAGATCAGTCAATATATAATTACTTAGATCAGTCAACATATTGTTACATAATTTCATATTGTTAAATGTTCCAATCAAAAATCTGTACTTTTCCATTCTTCGATGCGTTTCGCCGTAGCTTTTTCAAGAAGTTTATAGAGGTGGCCTGTAGAATCCATATGAATGTTATAATGAGCATTTAAATAATTGAAAATAGCAATTAACCATTCGTAACACTAACTGACATAGATCAATGAATAATTAAATAAATACATAAATACTATGTAAAAGATTTCTGAGGGCGAGTAGATTCCCATCTAGGGGAGTCCCTCCACTCCGCCAGGAGAAGAGAAGCAGGGATAACTCAGGAGTGGTAAGGAAGAGGAGGCATCTACATCTGTCCTTTTGTGACCTATAAAATTAAATTGTAATCCAATGCTCTCCTATGTGTAACTTCATGTGCATACAGGATAATGCAACTAACATAACAAAACAACCTAAATGTGAGACAATTTGAAACAACTTCTCTGAACCTTACTAAATCAGTGAGTAAATATATCTAATCTGAGGTTCGATACAATTAGCCTTCACAATTGATACTTCTATATCCCAGTATCCACACAAGTCAATGTATCCCATCCAAAAACCATCTAAGTCATTTCCAGCCCAGATCGTCCATTAATCCAGACAATCCTATTCTGTCAATATCCGTTTAAGTATATTTAAATTATATTTAAAACATTTCAAAGATAATCCTCATTGGTATCAGTAATTTAAATTATAAAGTTAATCCATTCAGAAAATCATCCTAAGAGAAAATAACCAGATCCATTGATAGATAGGAACCACTGAATATATTCCAAGATATCAATTGGGTACCTTGTGAATCGTTCAAACTCCTCATGTATCCAAGACCAACCTCTACCTTTCTCTATAATCCAGAGTCTCCCTTTCTCTAGATCTTTACCACCGCAGACCCACGTCTAATTCGTCGGCGTGTGACGTCTGCGGACGGGCACTCGGTCCGCACTTGCACCCTTATGAGTGCATCCGAATTGTGGGAGTGACCCAGTCATACCTGGGAGTGACCCAGTCACACCCCCCAGGGCCGTCAGCCCAATGGAACGGCACCTATTGATCAACCGTGCCATCCCATCTCACGCTGACAGGGACAGAGCCCTCCCCCCATCAGCGCGGCAACCGAACCGTCAGTCCCGGGGCACCGGCAGCAGCACAACCTCAAGGATCGATCAATGTCGACCAGAGATGAGGAAGTGCTGGAGTGCAAACCCTCCCCAAATGATATATACAGGGGAACAGCCCGCTAGATCAATCCTGGGTGAGATGGATGGCATCCCCAATGCGTGAGTCAAGGCCCCATAACAATATATCTTATTTGACCAGATTAGAAACATCCGTTGTAGAACAGTAGTAATTTAACACATAGTGTATAAAAAATAATAATACATAATAGACACAATGGGGTCCTAATATCAAGTTAAATTGGCATCTAACTAGTAAATGATACAATAAGGTGCTTGTGACAGTTTAAAGCATAGTTTTGTGCTATTTCGACAATTAATTATTTGTTGTGTAAACAATGAACAGAAGTGTGCTCATTAGAATAATGTGATATAATGTGGATTAAGTGAATGTGTGAATCCTAGATCTCCAACTCCTTCCCCACATAGATATGTGATAGTATTCGATTCTCCCATACTCCTCCCCTCTCCCCCCTTCCCCCCCAACCTCACCCCACAAGAAAATAAAATTAAAATTACCCAAATCCAACCCATCACAAAGCAAGCATCAAACCCCTATCCATCTAGTCTATAGTAGCCCATGACCCCTAATACCCATGATGACGGCCCCTAGGGACCAACAATGACCCAAAGTGACTTGTGCCAATGTTAAGTGAGTCAATGTTAGTTTGTATATCTCCATTCCTGAGATAGTTTTTATGTCTCCATTCTTGTGTAAACTAAATTCTAACATTGATTCACTTAACATTGGCACTAGTCACTTTGGGTCATTGACGGTCCCTAGGGGGCCATCACCATGGGTATTAGGTGCCCAGGTTAAAAATTGTGTGCATCCGTGAAACGGCAACAAACGTCAGTAACCCCAAAAAGTCCTTAGACAACGCTTTAAAAGCCCCCACAGGTCATCAGTTTAGAGATACCTAAAAATACTGGCCCTAGAATTATTGCTCTCACCCCGGCGTGTGCGATGATACCCAACATGTGTAGCGCGTTCGCCGTTTTCATACGTAGGCGCACTCAACGCGTGTTTACACGGCGGAGCCCGTGCTCGCGGGCGACTTTGAACATTTTTTTTACATTATTTTTAGATTTATTTTATTTAATGTTAATTATAAAAACTGATCGAAAGAAAAACAAAGCGCTAAGGGTAAATGGATGTGCCAAAAAAGTGAACAATAGGTTTTCTGGCGAGGCCAGTCTAGAACCTAATGTAAAAATATATAAAACAGGACTAACTTCCTAAAAGTATATTAAACCACTTTAGCGAAAATGCAATAAACAATTAAAACCAATAAAATTCATTCCAATGAAATATATAAACGAAAAGTGTTTAGAAACATCAAAATAGTGTCCAATGAATAAAAAAAAAAAAATCCAGGTGAACGGTAGATTCCGTGTGCAAATATACAAATATGCAAAAATAGCAGTGTACTTCAAATTGATCCGAACTGTCCCTCTCGGGTGGCAGGTGAACGGTAGATTCCGTGTGCAAATATACAGATGTGTAAAAATAACAGTGTGCTTGAAATTGATCCGAACTGCCCCTCTCGGGTGGGTACTCAACGAAGGGAAGTTGATAGAAAACTCTTACTGAGTGGTACCGTGATTGGGCTTTAGCACAGACGTGTTCTCTGCGAGTCCCGGCAGCTGAAACAGTTGATTTTCTCCTCTAAGCCGTTGGCTATAACTCAAGGGTGAGGAGTCCAATCTTTTTCGGAATAGTTAATAGCAAAAGTGCTTTGCCGTTTGTCCCGCAGAGTTTTTTAGGGATGAATAAAAGAAAAAGAAAGAACCTTCATTGCGCAATATATAAAACCATAGACCTTTATTCAAAAAATCGGCTTACAAGGCAAAAAATATCGGCCAGCTAAAAACAGCACAGAGACAAGCGTGAAGCCTCGTGTCTGATAAATTAGCATCTACCCTCCTCGACGCGTTTCGTCATGTGACTTCCTCAGAAGGGGGGTGGATGCAAAAGACAGGAGGTGACGTATAAATACACTCCGCTAATTGATCCCAATCAGAAGAGAGTCAATTAGGAGGCAGCGTAAACGAATTATTAAAACAGACACATCATTAAACAATTAAAATTTAGACATAAATAGAGACTTAACAGATCAAATCATGTATCACAAAAGATAACAGTTTATATCAGAGAACATGATTAAAAATAATAACTTAGTACAACATATCCAATCAAATAAATTCATGGTAAAGATTATAATGCGATAAAAATATATCAAACCGATAAAAAGATTAAAATACGGTTGCAATCAGAAAAAAGTATAAATAGACAATTATATATCAATTTAGGGGTATAGGGGCCGATCTATAAAATGAGTGGAGATAGACAATCAATTCAGAATGAGAGGATACAATAGGGCTGATCTATGAAGATAATTAATTCAAATAAAACTTGAGTACAGATTATATCGTAAGGGGTGTGCGTGGATAATCAATGTCAGAAAGTGATAATTGATATGTGATGATTGTAGTGTGCAGCGAAGGCTGGAACAAAAGTCATGTGAAGCGAACACTAACAGTATTAGAATGAAGTGTGATTAAGCTGGAGACTAATAACCGGATGATCGTGAAACAGGTATACGTATAATATATAGTATACATAACATATGTAAACAATATATACAATATTTAATAAATCATGTAATGATAAAACATATACTATTAAATAAATAAGTGAGGAATATATATGTGAAGCTGTGAAACTAACAAATAAAAAATAAATAAAAATTGAATAGTGTCAAATGAATAAATATAAAGATAAATAAAAGAATGATAATAAATAGACTATTAATAAAACATTCCAAAGAGGATGATGTTCCTTTCCATAAGATCAGGACATCATCATATATAGCGTTTCCAGAGGATCAGGGATTTAATTGGTGTATTAAAAATAAACTCCTCCTCCCACTGAGCCATGTATAGATTAGCCA